TGGTATTTAAGCTTTGTGAGCGTATTGGCAGTCTATAATGTAGACTGTAGCAATGGTTATTAAACTGAGTGAGCCTACTGGCAGTCTGTAATGTAGACTGTAGCCTGGCTCTTAACCTGAGTGAATGTACTGGCAGTCTATTATGTAGAATAAGTCTACATTATACGCTCATGTAGAATAAATATACATTATAGACTGCCAGTACGCTCACTCAGGTTAAGAACCATGCTACAGTCTATACTATAGACTGCCAGTACGCTCACCAAGGTTAAGAACCAGGCTACAGTCTACATCATAGACTGCCAGTACACTCACCCAGCTTAATAACCATTGCTACAGTCTACATTATAGACCGCCAGTACACTCTGATTAAGAACCAGGCTAAAGTCTACATCAGTGTATTTTTATTTTATTATTTTTATTCACTTAATTTTTTTTATCAACGTGACTTTACCAAAAGAACCAAAGAATATGAATTCCTGCAGTCACGAAAGTTTTAAGACAACATTTAGACTTTTGGGGCAAATACTGTTCGCGAGCACCTATGAAGGTCGGCACGACAGACACACACACACATGCATGTCTGTTTAGCATTAGAATGTTGCACTGTTAAAATGTTGAGAGTAGTTGCTTCAAAGGTGAAGATAGGGAAAGCCACCATGTGTTTAGGAGAGACACTCAGAACTGGGGGGGACAACACAGGTTCAGATGGTAAACCGTTTTGTACGTATTGTCGGTGAGATTAAAGGAGGACCCTGACTCGCGCCTTGGTCAGTCTGTATTCGATTGATGCTTTACCATATCCACAACACCGTCGTCAACGCCGTTCACCAAATGCTGGTGACATCACCACAGGACTTGTGCAAGGCTAGTTACAGAAGGTCACGGGACAGACTCAGGTGCTCTGGGTTGGCTGAGATGACTGACCAGCGCTCCCCACTGTTATGAGCGTCGCTGCTATCAAGCATCATCAAGACTAATGTCAACAGAAACATCAACATTAAAAGCACCATCATCATCAGCCTTATCACTAACATTATCATCTCCCTCCTCTCCGTGTCTCCCTCCCTACTATATCCCCACCCTCAATGTCTCCCTCCTCCCTCGTCCCTCATCCTCCTCCCCATGCCTCACTCCTTGTCTCTGTGTTTGTAGGAGATGAGGTCCCTTGGTGCGTGGGGTGGATCCCCACATCCCCGTGTCTCTGTGTCCCCGTGTCTCCGGGGGTTTCTGCTGGACGGATTTCCACGGAACCTGGAGAATGCGTGGAGCTGGGAGCTGGACGCGGGGAGATGCACAGAGACACGATTCGTGCTTAGCCTGGAGTGCAGCGCCAAGGTGCAGACACTCAGAGACAAAAGCAGCAGCCGATGCTGTTGATAATGCTGCTGGTGCTGATGTTGCTGCTGGTACTGATGATGCTGCTATTAATGATTATGATGATGGTGTCGCAGGAGAGCCTCAGTCGATGTTTGAGTCGATCTCTGGGCTCTTCTGCTCGCTCAGACGATGAAGTCGACATCATCACGAAGAGGTAGCAGCAGTAACATTACCATCATCACCATCAGCAACATCATAATCAGTATCATCAACATCGGCATCATTACCACCATTAGCAACATTATCATGAGTATCATCAGGAACACCATCATCGCTCACCCACCCACTCATTTACCCAACTTATCTGGAATGTCCACTGTGATTGATGCATATGGCGTGGAGTTGTAGTATTTTCAATTTCTAATACTACCCATACTGCGGTGTTAACTGGCGCGGCCTGCCGGATTTGAACTGCGAATCCTCCACAATGAGCAGCAAACACCGCTACCACTGGAGCACTACCACTAGATCACAACACCACCCCCATTGTGCATGTGTAAGGTACCTCGCAGCCTTTCTAGACTACCAACACACTACCACTGGGCCACGTGATCACCACTAATCAGGTGCGAGGAGAATAATAGCTGAGCTCTGACATTGTATTAATGAGCAAGTTAATTAGTGTGTTGTAAATGGGACCTTGCCCCTAGGTTGGCTCTATTTGAAAGGGAGACACGGCCCGTGCTGGACACGTTCCATGAGAGGGGGTTGTTGAAGAGGGTCGACTCGTCCCAACCCACTGTTGAGGTGAGGCTTCGCTCCCTTTCCCCAATACCTCTCCCACCTTCCTGCCTCTCGTGTTGGTGATTCTCACATTACACGCCATTGGCTGAAATACAGAAAACCTTTTTGGACACCCGCCTCTGCTCTCGCAGCCCAAAAGATCGACATCGGCCCTCACTGGGAAGGGATCGTGGGCAACTATGGACGTGGCAATAAACAAACACCTCATTGAGGACCCTACTGTTGAAACACTGGGCTCCTCTCTCCCACGACCACTACAGACCTCGTTAGACCTCGTTCGAACACAACATTTGAGGTGCGCGTTCACCTTCCACAAATGGACGAAGATCAGACAATTGCCGAACTGCGAGTTTGGTGAAGTCCAAACCATTAAATGCGTCACCATGAACACTCCATCCATGCAACATTCTGACTGTTGCTGTGACCCTCACAGCACCTACTGCTGCCTCCTTGGATTGGTTTTAAAAACTTCGCATTCAACTATACATTGCTTAGTGTGACCCCATAGAATGCTGATTCATTATAACACAGCAGCGCTGGCCAAGGAAACATATCCGCCCATTGAGAGTGACTTATGCTTTGAGCTGACGAGACCCCACCCCCCATGATTCGATTATCACGATTTATAGTCGTGATTACATTTTAATAAATATATTTGTTTAGCCAGGTGAGAACACACGAGACAAGGATAGAGTCTCAGGCTCTACATAAAATAAACCTCACCACAAAAATTTTGACTCACATCTCTAATTATTAATTATCTTAATGAGCTTAGGATCACAGAGGTTCCTGGAGCTCTTTGAGAATGACCTGGATTTGGAGTGCAGCAGCTCCCCCACTGCAGCCTTGCAGGAATACAGTAGAATGCGCTTGTTAGTACTGGACATCATACGTACTGATGTTTTAATTAATACGTTTTACTCATGAAATAATGTTGACTTTCTATTATTAACGCTATTACCTATACCCCAATGAAGCCCTCATATAATGCTAATATGTGAGAAATAATGCCATTCACTTTTCCAGGAATGCATCTTGAGCGCTAAGCGAGGTTTGCCTGTAATAACTCGTTTCAATACTAGCTTTTACCTTCTGCCGTACGAAAGAGAGAGACAGGGCTCGTAATTGGTTTCCTTTTGGAGGGGCCAGATCCTCGTTCGGGTGGTATAATGTCAATTACAGCTGAGAACCCTCCACCACCCTACTGATGGTGTGGCCAGACAAATAACACCTGTCGCGCCATGGGCGAATGTAGTAAGGCCTGATGATTATGCTGCGTGTAATCTCCAGCGCAATGTCACTCATATGGCATTGTCCAAAAATGTTTTGCTTACTCTTCATTGCAACCAGGCTTCGTCAAGAAACCAAATAAGTTGGGGCACATTTTCCCACGACGTGACAGCTTCATTTGTTTGGCTGTGTCGTTGGGTGGTGACGGGTGCACTGCTGTTCGCTGTTGATTGAAGGTAACAAAAGCACGAGATCAAATACGTTCAGCAGGCAATAGCAGTAGCCTCGCTCAAGTTTCATAGATGCAGCCACAGGTTTAATTGAAATGGATCGACCGAAAACTAGGTGTGGAGTTGCAGCTTACGTTTTCAACGATCTCTCCTCCCATTTAGTCTTATGTCCATTTTTAAATGCATCGAGTTGTTGGCATCGAGTATCAACTCACCTGGTAAATCAGAATACAGACCACCAAACGGAATGAGTGCTGAAACCCGGGTGCTGTAAAGTTGTATTTTCATATTACACGTTTGGGTTACCCAGAACACTCTGCCCCCATTGGATAGGGGAGGCGTAGAATGTAGTGAAAGAGAACCTGTTTGCCGTTGACCCAGAGAGAAGGATCTTCTGCCTAAGAAGTTAGAGATACTGCTGCTGCCCGATGTTCATATCCATTAAGATACAGGTATCCACTTCTGTCTGTTCTGCAGTTGCCGGACTTGTGCCATATCCCTGTCAGTTAGGTATTATCAGGGTTCCTAATATGCCTTACTTTACCCTGTTAGGCTGACTCCTACACGGATACCCATTGCCCAGGTCCACGATGTGGATGAGGGGATGGACTTTTGGAACCCAATTGACATGATACCCATGTGTAATTGTTTGTTATTCTTTGCTCTTCAGTTGCTGGAGTGAAAGGTGGGGGTTGTTATGGCCTTGCCCATTCCTGGCCCAGCCTGGCTATGGGAAATGTTAGTCTATGGACAATGTTAGTCTATGGACAATGTTAGTCTATGGGCAGTGTTAATCTATGGGCAATATATGTCTGGGGGCAATGTGTATATATATATGGGCAATATAAGTCTCTGGGCAATGCTAATTTGTGGGACAATGACAGTCTGTGGCAGGGGTCGGCAAACTTCGGCTTTGGAGCCACATGCGGCTCTTCATGGACTCCGTGACATTATTTAAGGGCCACTGTCTCGTATTCACATGAAATATAGATTTTTTTTTGGACCGAATTCGAAAAATTTTGCTTGTTATTTTGATTGCTGACCTCTGGTCTGTGGTACAATGTTAGTCTATGGGCAATGCTAGTGCATGGGTGAAAAGTGGTGGAGCTGTGTCCTCTCCCAATCGTGGGCCAGCATGGCTTGAAAAGTCAATGCAGAAACACTATCTGGTCGAAAAGAAACCAATCATGAATCTTAATATTGCTCATAAAAACCTAGCATGGTTAAGCAAAGGGTTAAGCAAAGGGTGTTTTCTCTCTGTGTGATCAGGTCTTTGCAGATGTCACGCGGATCTTTGAAGAGGAGGGATGACGTCATAGCAAGCCTCGTTTGCGAGCCCCTATTGAGATGGCTCTCACCTCGGCTCTGGGTTCTGCTGCCTGCGATTAAACTGGGTTTTCAAGTCTAGTGAGTTGGTGGTCTCTGTGGGCACCAGTGATTCACGTAGAGACCCACAGACTCACACAGAGACCCACATACTTGCACACTCTGACAGAGACATACAGACTCAGACAGAGTTGATGGTCTCAGCTGAGTTACCAATGAGTGCACAAAACATCCTGATCACATTAAGTATTTTGCGTAACTTGGCAAAATTACAATTGTGAGAATTATAATATTGGTTTGACTGTCACATGATGAGCATCACTCTCGGCTGCACTGGCTGCACTGCTTTGCGAGATTTACGAATGGATTCTTCGTCTCGTGACGCCGAGAGATCGATCGGGATCAAATTGGGAGGGTTTTTTTTACGAGGGGCTGAAGTGTGGGAAAGCTTCAGATCATCTGTTGCCAATCTAAATTTCCAGGGATAGCCACACATACCTCGATATACCCAGATGCTTTTGAGACACGCAAGAGAACAACACTGTGATGTGGCCCAGCATTCGCCACTTGTTGCAGAGGTTCACAGTTCGAATCCAGCAGGTCACCCTGGTTAATACTGTGGATGTGCATATTAACCGCGAAATACTAATACTCTGAACCATCTTCTTCACTCACAATGGACGTTAAAGACTCTGTGACATCAGTTGCAAGAGCAGTTTGCCATTTTGTACTGGTGCCACAGTCCAAATTTTTGTACAAATTTGAAAATTGCCACCGCAAATTACTCAATTCGGATTATATCTAGAGTAGCAATGATCACCCCCTACGGACAGCATACTAATGCACAGGGACAGCTGCCACTGAGGGTACCCCTCAGCGAGACCACAACAGCAATCATCTCCCCCTACTAGCATAGTTATGCCTGTTTGCAGGTCTGTTGCGGAGTCACCTTGTGCCTCACAGGGACAGCTGGCACTTGGTCACCCCTTCCAAATGTGTTGAGATAATGAGATGCGAGATATAAGCTGCTTGTTGCGTGTGAAGCTTCTCTGAAGCACCCTAGTGTAAAGGAAGGCGGTTCTTCTCAAACAATCATAGTGTAGTGGTGATACGCGCTGGGATTAGGGATCGTATGCCAGCGCGTAATGATTGGCTGTGTATGTGGTGACGCGCGCTGACGGTGGAGGATCAGGGGTCAGCGCGGGGTCGTGGGTTACGGGGTACTGATTGGCTGTGGGCCGGTGACGCGCTGAGAGGGAATGACCGGGTGGCAGCGCGGTGTGATTGGTGGAGTAGTGTTAACACGCGCTGGGGAAAACGGATCGTAGAGAGAGTGCGTCGTGATTGGTTCACTAAGGAGCGATGCTCACGTCGACGTCCGCATCAGCTCCGTCTCTCGTGAGCAGGGGCTATAAAAGGGGATGCACACAGGCGTAAGGGCAGTATGTAACCAGCGAAGAATGAAGACGGGGATGAAGACATAGGGCCCTGCGGTACCTAGTCCCGCTGTCCTAACGGGACCGGGACTCTGTGTAACCCAGAGGCGAGTGTAGTGTGTGTAGCCATAGGCATAGAGTCTACACGAGCCGAATGTATTGTGTGTAGCCAGAGGCATAGGGTCTACACGAGTCAAGTGTATTGTGTGTAGCCAGAGGCATAGGGTCTACACGAGTCAAGTGTATTGTGTGTAGCCAGAAGCATAGAGTTTACACGAGTTAAGTGGAGTGTATAGTCCAAAAGGATAGAGACCACCCGTTGTATTGTGACACGTCAAGATTTAATAAAAGTGTGTTACCCGTCAAGAAGTTGCTGCCGTCAATTCCAATACTTCAACTGGCGTCAGAAGTGAAACGGTCTTCCAAGCATGGATACAAGGAAGACCCGTCGGACCCACGGGATTGACCGCGGGGACAACCTCGACGACTCGGGCCAGCTGGCATCGGGGGGTGATGACGAGGAATTGCCCACGCTGCAGGATCCGCCGACGGCGCCGGACGAGCGACGGGGGACTGACGCCGTGCTCCGCGAGGCGCACTCCCGCCTGGCGGAGCTGCTGCTCGCCGCCGCGTCCATCCTGGCGGAGATCAGCTCGTCGGGAGGAGCGGGGACGGCGGCGGACGTTCTACAGGGTCGCCCCGCAGATTCCCGCCAAAATGACTTGGCGATTCCCGCCATTTCATCTGCGCCGACTTTTGGCGGGAACGGCCATCACCACGTGGCAGCGGTTCTCCAAGCGCGCCCGCTTACGTCACCAACGCGCGCTGCGGACCGCCATCAAACACCTACCACTGGGGCCGCCATCTTACACACCGACGGGGCGGCGGAGAGGAAGCACGAGGAGGAGGACGACTTCATCTTTCAACAGCGCCTTCCCACGTTGTCAGCCTTCAAGGCGGAAGGCGGGGACTGGGGCCAATTTCAGCGCAGGTTTTTGGCGCATCAGGAGATGTCCGCCTGGTCCGACGCTACGGCACTGCGGGCACTGCCTGCCATGCTGGACGACAACGCGCTCGCGGCCTTCACGTCCGCACGCAGGTCGGACCGCTCCACGCTCAAGGATGCGCTGGCTCTCATGGCCAAGGTCTATGGTCCTCCCTCGGCGTGTCGCCATCATTTTTATGCAAGACGGAAGGCGGACACGGAGACCGTGCTCGCCTATCGCACGGCGTTGCTGGCTCTCGCCAACGCCGCGTTCCCTCGTATGGACGAGGAGGGCCAAGATGCCATGGTTTTGGAGCAACTGCTCAAGTTGGCGCAGGACCTGGGGGTCCCCATCAACACGGCCGACGAGACCGATATTTCTTCCTTACGGGTCGCTACGAGCATACAAGCGCACGAGGTCCTTCAACGTAAACAAGGGGTCGTCTGCAACGCTGCCGTGGCCTCAGCTCCGGGCCCGGTAGTCACCGTGCCCCAAGTCGTCAGCCCACGAGAGGAGGCGTTCATCGCGGGACGACCGGGGGACTGGAGGTCGGGGGGTCGTTCGCCTCTGCGATCGGCCCGCAAGCTGGAGCAACCGAGATCTCCGACGACTGTCATCACGTGTTATAACTGCGGCCTCCGGGGCCATGTGGCCTCCGGTTGCCGCGCCCCACGTCAGCGCGCCATGGGACCTCGGCTGGACGACGAACAAGGCCCCAAGTCATCCCTGCAAACCCCGGCAAGTCGCGGCACCTCACATGCCCGGCCCGCATACTCGACACGCATGGGCCGTCGCGTTGCGGCGGAGGAGAGCCGAGTAGGGTTCGGGGATTCGGTTCGGCGAGGGGGGTTCAACCGGGACCGGGGTGACATTAAATGGTTGGAGTTGGGGCACAGAATAGTGGCTGCCTCAGCGGGTTCATCCGTCGTCACGGGATCTATTGATGGGGTCGAGGTCAGGGTGTTAGTGGACACGGGGGCATCGGCGACTATTATATCGGACCTCATTTATAACATTCTCCCTGTACAATGTCGTCCGCTTCTTCCGGTGGATGTGCCATTTTACGCCGCTAACGGGGGATCGTTGGGCATTATCGGTCAGATTAGGGCGTCCATTTGCATTGGAGATATCAAATTGTCGGGACCCGTTTTCGTTTCGTCCTCCCTGGCGGTTCCTTGTCTATTGGGCACTGATTTTTTGGCAAAAATGCCCATCAAAATTCTCATTGATCAGCGTTGCATTGAACTACCATCGGGTCGCCGTATTTCATTTTTGACGAGCCCTACTGAAATTCGGATGGCGTGCGCTACGATACAAGCGTTAGCGACACAGACCATGCACGTGCCCCCGGGTTCACAAATGTTAATTCCCCTCCGGTTGCGGAAACCATGGGTGAGGGAGGCCTCGGAACAAGGCATGCTTTTGGGTCCTTCTAATAGGGCTGTTGGAGGTCTCGATTTGTCGGTGGCTCACACTTTGGTTGGGGCTGACAGGGATCCGTTTGTAATGGTTTTAAACGCTGGGTCGCGGCCGGCCGTCATTCAGCAGGGCACCGTGCTAGCTCACGCGGCGCGGGTCCCTGCGGAAGAGCGGCTGGTTGCGCAGGCTGATCCGAGCCCCAAGCAAAACGTAAAACCGAAGGAGGACCTCGAATGGGTCGATTCGCTGTGCGCGGACTCGGACGATTTGTCAGCGGTACAGTTGGGTGCGCTGCGCGGGTTGCTGATTGAATTTTCGGATGTCTTCAGTAAACATAAGTATGACATTGGGTGCACGGACCTGCTACGCCACCACATTGAAACGGGCGATGCAGCACCGGTCAGGCTAAATCCCTTCCGACTGAGTCCTGCTGAGAAGGAACATGTTCAGTCGGCCGTTAACGATATGCTAGAAGCCGACATTATTTCGCCTTCTTCCAGTCCTTGGGGAGCACCTATTGTGCTCGTTAAAAAGCAGGACGGGTCCTTGCGATTTTGCGTCGATTTCCGTCGCCTGAATAAGATCTCTGTGGCCGACGCGTATCCGCTCCCCAGGATGGACGAGTCCCTCGACGCATTGTCTGGTGCGCGATACTTTTCGACTCTTGATTTATTATCCGGATTCTGGCAGTTGCCACTCGACGAAGAGTCTAAGCCTAAGACTGCATTTCGGACTCCAGGGGGCCTGTTTCAGTTTAACCGATTACCCATGGGACTTCACTCCTCTCCTGCGACGTTTCAGCGCCTTATGGAGTTGGTTTTGTCAGGCTTGCAATGGGATACGTGCCTGATTTACCTTGACGATGTCATTTTCAGTAAAACGTTTGAAGAACACCTCCAGCGATTGAGAGGGGTGTTCTTGCGAATGCGATCGGCTAAATTAAAGTTTAAACCGGCCAAATGCCACCTTTTTCGTAAATCCGTTAGATACTTGGGTCACATTGTCGACTCTTCGGGGATTTCTACCGATCCTGCGAAGACGGACTGTGTCAGTTCGTGGCCGACGCCCACGTCAGTTTCGGACGTGCGCAGTTTCATCGGCTTTGCTTCTTATTATCGCCGATTCGTTGAGCACTTCGCCACCATTGCAAAACCCTTGCACGCTCTAACGGCGAAAGGAGTGAAGTTCCGATGGGGACCGGAGGAGGAGGCTGCATTCTGTTCCCTCCGGGACGCCTTGGTAGGGGCCCCACCCTTGCGCTATCCGGACTTTGCGAGTCCCTTCTTGCTAGACACGGATGCTAGCAACACGGGCATTGGGGGGGTGCTGTCCCAAGTCGTTGGAGGGGTCGAACGGGTGGTCGCCTATGGTAGCAGAGTGTTGTCGCCGGCAGAGCAGCGCTACTGCGTCACCCGTCGCGAGCTGCTTGCCATTGTTTTTTTCGTACAACAATTCAGACCATATCTCTATGGTCGTCACTTTACGGTCCGGACGGACCACGCGGCGCTCCAATATTCATTGCGGGTCGCCCAGCCCTCGGGCCAATTGTCGCGGTGGTTGGAAGTCCTCCAGGACTATCAGTTCACGACTACATACCGTAAGGGGTTGCGACACACAAATGCCGATGCCCTGTCGCGGTTGTTGCCTTGTCACAAATGTGCGTGCTTATCGGGATCGGCGCGCTGTAAACCGCCAGTTACGGAAGGTATGGAGGCGTTGGTTGCGACCGCGGGCACACCAATTGGGGATGTTCCCGCTACCCCAGGGGGTCAGGACCCGCTGCTCTCACTGTCGCTGATTGAGTGGGGCCGTCTCCAAATGGCGGACAGCTCCCTGCTAGCATTGCGCCGCAGGACGGGGGGTTCCGAAGGTGACCATGAACGAACTGGCTCCTACGTACTTAAGCAAGGCCTGTTAATGAGATGGGACAGTTTGTCCCGGTGGCACGCGATTGTGGTGCCTTCTGCTGTGAGAGGGAAGGTTGTCTTGGCCGCACACGAACGCCTCTTGCATTTGGGAGTTAACAAAACGCTTGCCCTGCTTCAGCGTGACTATTATTGGCCGGGAATGGGGAGTGACGTGGTGAATATTCTGAAGGGTTGTGTTGAGTGCGCCAGACGGAAACCACCGCCCGTGGCAGCTAATCCACCGCTGCAATCTATTCAGGTCTCGCGCACTAACGAGCTCGTTGCACTCGATATTCTGGGGCCTTTTCCAGTCACGCCTAGGGGTAATAAGTACCTGTTGGTGGGAGTCGAATATTTTACCCGGTGGCCTATGGCGTGGCCACTCGCCAACCAGTCGGCGGCGGCTGTGACGGACGCCTTTGTCCAGGGCTACGTCCTGGACAAGGGGGCTCCCGAACGCTTGCTGACCGACCAAGGGAAAAAATTTTCGAGTAAATTACTGCAAGAGGTGTGCGACCTGTTGGGTACTAAGAAGGTGCGTACCTCCCCGTACCACCCGCAGACGGACGGGATGGTGGAGAGGCTCCACAGGACATTGACTTCTATGCTGTGCCAGCAGGTGTGTGAGGCACATGTTGATTGGGACCTGCAGGTCCCTGGGGTCCTCGCCGCGTATAGAATGGCCCCCCATGCAGCTACGGGATTTTCCCCGTTTTATCTGATGTACGGTCGGGAAGCCGACCCGCCCATGGAAACGCAGCTGGGCCTGCCCGCACCACGAACTAATTCAAAATTGGCAGAGCATATTAAATTTAATATTCATAAGCTGACAGAGGCAAGGGAGGCCGCACGGCTTAATTCGCGGGCTCGCCAAATTGCAAACGAGCGGTTGCGTGCACGGAAGGTGTCCGTGCACAACTGGGAACCAGGTGACAGGGCCTGGCTGCATTGCCCTCAGGCACCTTTGGTTACGTCGCCTAAATTGTTGAAGCCATGGCGGGGACCCGTGGAGGTCGTGCGGGTTGCACGCCCCCAGTGCGTTCAGATAAAATGGGGAAAACGCCGTTGGTACGTCCACCCCTCCCGACTGAAACCGTTCTCGCCTCCATATGGCCTCCCCTTGTGTCGTGAGGGCCGAGCATGTGACGTGACCGACGACCCTAAGGGGGAAATGTCTTTGCCTGATCCTCACATGTCTCCGCCTGATCCGCTCCCAGGTGTCTCGGAACTGACAGCTGCCGACCACCGGCGGCCGGATCTTCGCGACGGGGCCGGTCCTTCCAGGCCCGATCCGCGCCGTCTAGAGCTGCCGGAGCCACCGGACGGTCGCCAGCGTCCCGTCCCATATGACGGACCAGCCAGACGGACTCGCGCTAGGTCGCGCTACTTTTTATGACCTACCACGTGAGGAGTCGAGGCAGCCGGAGCGCCTCGTCACTGCGTTTAGTCACAGAGACACTTGGCGCGTTCGTTTTCTGGTGTTCGCTTTTATTGTGTTGTTCGTCGGGCTGTATATTGCTTCTTATTTAAGTGTTGTTGTTGTGTTGTTGTTGTTGCGTTACGGGGCACACTGGGGGGTGGGGTTTCTTTATTACTGCGTTGACGTTAGGTTGTGTTGTTGGTTAACAGCCGGGCCGGCTGCAAGCTATGTGGGAGGGGGTGATGTAGTGGTGATACGCGCTGGGATTAGGGATCGTATGCCAGCGCGTAATGATTGGCTGTGTATGTGGTGACGCGCGCTGACGGTGGAGGATCAGGGGTCAGCGCGGGGTCGTGGGTTACGGGGTACTGATTGGCTGTGGGCCGGTGACGCGCTGAGAGGGAGTGACCGGGTGGCAGCGCGGTGTGATTGGTGGAGTAGTGTTAACACGCGCTGGGGAAAACGGATCGTAGAGAGAGTGCGTCGTGATTGGTTCACTAAGGAGCGATGCTCACGTCGACGTCCGCATCAGCTCCGTCTCTCGTGAGCAGGGGCTATAAAAGGGGATGCACACAGGCGTAAGGGCAGTATGTAACCAGCGAAGAATGAAGACGGGGATGAAGACATAGGGCCCTGCGGTACCTAGTCCCGCTGTCCTAACGGGACCGGGACTCTGTGTAACCCAGAGGCGAGTGTAGTGTGTGTAGCCATAGGCATAGAGTCTACACGAGCCGAATGTATTGTGTGTAGCCAGAGGCATAGGGTCTACACGAGTCAAGTGTATTGTGTGTAGCCAGAGGCATAGGGTCTACACGAGTCAAGTGTATTGTGTGTAGCCAGAAGCATAGAGTCTACACGAGTTAAGTGGAGTGTATAGTCCAAAAGGATAGAGACCACCCGTTGTATTGTGACACGTCAAGATTTAATAAAAGTGTGTTACCCGTCAAGAAGTTCCTGCCGTCAATTCCAATACTTCAATAGTATCAATCTTAATTTTGGAACTTTCGTGACTGCAGGAATTATTCTTTGGTTCTTTCGGTTAAGTCACGTCTAAAGATAAAAGAATACATTAAAATAATAGCATATTACGACGTTTCGATTGCAACACAAGCAATCATCAGGCATAAAAGAAATAGCAACAAAAATCTAACTAGAAAACTATAGACAGACATACAAGCAGACAGACATCACAAGTTAGATTTTTGTTGCTATTTATTTTATGCCTGATGATGATTGCTTGTGTTGCAATCGAAACGTCGTAATATGCTATTATTTTAATTTATTATTTTATCTTTAGACGTGACTTAACCGAAAGAACCAAAGAACAATCATAGTATGTATTTATTATTAAACATCAGTAGATGTGGTGGGGTGGTTGGGTTGAATTGCACTGGTTCGTCAGTTATTCCCCTCCCCTACTACCCCCAGGTTCCCCTTCCCCCCTCTCCTTTGAAAATATAAATGAAAATCTAATGATTCGTTTTATTTCTCTGTGTTTTCTTCGTGCATAGAAATTGCATGTCTCACAATCGTTGCAGAGGAACTGCAGGCCAAGCTGGAAGGCTTGGTTCCTTGTACTGTATATTAAGATGTGTTCAGCCAATTAGTGATGAGTGTTCATTGTACATGTAGCAGGAAAGTGGAGTGCGTGAAGAAACCCCACGCCTTCGAGCGGGTGACAACATTCTATCCCATACAGAAGGGACAGATATCAGTTCACACTTTGCACCTCGATGCCCACGGGAAGGGCGTTTTGCAACATGTGTGTGATCCACCAACCCTCTCCTCCACACTGCTGGATTACAGGCGTGTGCCACCTTCAGCAACGTTTCGTCATTTGTGGCGGTGATCCACCAACCCTCGCTGCTGCCTCCACGGTGCTGCGTTACAGGCCATGTGCAGTCGAGCTACCACCGAAATGTAATCCCCCCAGCACCCCCCCCCCCTCGCAGAATATCGACTTGGAACTCGGTGACGTTTTCATTGTGCATTTATTTTTTTGTAATTTTAGACGTTATAAAATGAAGTTTGCAAAAGGAATAGCATTGGAAATTAAGATCGGTCACACTCAACTCTCACCCGTTACATAGAAGCTCTTAGCCTTGCGCTTATGCACGTGAAACCACTAGTTGAGATGAACTGCCATGTGGTCATATTGTCTTGGCCCACCATCGATAAAGTGAGTATGTGGACGGCCGAACTGGTAGTTTTAGCTTGACTTGCATGGCTGAGGGCTTCGGTACATACGATGTCATCTCTGCCAGTCATCTCAGTCAACCCATGGCACCTGTCCTATCACTGCCAGCAGCAGAAAACCTTTGACACTTCACGTGGCCTCAAAGTGCACATAGCCTCAAAGTGCACATAGCCTCAAAGTGCACATAGCCTGTATGTTGATCTTATTTCGCACCATACATAGCCAATCGTGCTAACCATCGGTGTGGGGGAAGGACAACAAACTAAACACAAAGCAGTTCTCAAGAAATTAGTTTTGAATCTAGATTTGAAAGTGCGTAGCTCCAGTGGCTTCCAAATATCGGAAGGAAGAGCATTCCGGTATGATGGCTAGCTAAAAACTACTTCGAGGATGACCGGAGATAATTTTGGCACCGTGGTGACGTCACCGTCACTTAGTGGCAAATGGCGGCTGTTATGTATGTGTTGGAGACTCCGCACCTGGCCAATTCATTATATCCTGGGGCAGCGATTACTTAGGGAACTCGGAGATGCTTATTCACCAAGTAATCTTCTGCGGAAAAAAGCCTTGGGCAATGAGTGGCAAGGAATGTGGACCAGGGGATAAAAAAGAGAGCAAAAGAGGAAGGAGTTGTAACTGGGGACATCTGTGGGTCATCTAATAAAGAGACCTCTGTTGAACACGGTATGAGCTGAATCCTTTCATATGTATGCCGACATTTTTTTTTACGCCCGCACTAAGTTGTCTGTTGAAATCAGGTTTTTTAGCCACATGCAGATTTGAATCTCTAACTCTCATACTTTACATCAAAAACTCACTCGCTCTTGGGTTGCTATATTAACCTATAGAGAATAAACACAGTGCACTGTGTAAAAGGTAATACAAGATCATTAAACAATGCAGTACAACGTTCAATGCAGCTAGGATAATCTAAGTTGCAATGAACAATACCTGTCTATTCGTCTAGGTGCATCTCGGTCTCCTTTATACACTATCTCATTTCAGTAAATTTATATCTATTAGGAATTTGGCAAGATAGCGACAAGTGATCACCCTCACCTGAGTCCCAGCCTCCTTGAGTCTCAAGACCCTGAGATCCAGTCTCTTTGAGTCTCAAGACCTTGAGACGCAGTCTCCCCAAATCACAAGACCTTGAGATCCGGGCTTCCCGAGTCTCAAGACCCTGAAATCCGGTCTTGAGTCTCAAGGCCCTGAGGTCCGGTCTCCCCGAGTCTCAAGACCCCGAGACCCCATTTCCCTGAGTCTCAAGACCCTGACTCTGTCTCCCTGAGACTCATTACCCCGAAACCCGGTCTCCCTAAATCTCAAGACCCCCTCCCCTACCGTCTACATATCGAGGTCGTAGAACCTGCTCGTCCCTGCCAGGCCCAGCTCGTGTGGCGTGGGTAAAATATTTTGGTTGAGGGACACGAGGAGACACAGCCTCCCCACACAGTCCAGCCACAAAGCCCTGCTTAATTTCAGCGGGAGCTTCTTCCTTCTGGTGTCTCCATCGTTGGTCCCAGACCACCCCAGGAGACGCGATGCCACCTCGAGCGCGGCCAGCGCCAGCGTGGAAGCTGGAAATGAGTTGAAGGCGTAGTCTGCAAAACTCAGCTCCAGGATCTGCTCTGAAAGGCAGCTGAGTGCCGAGAAGGAACAAACGGGGGAGAGAGAGGACTTCTCTGTAGTAGTGGAGGTGGTTGTGGAGTTGTGGTTAGTGGGCGTTGTGTGATTGGGATATGGGTAGCGGTTAGGGTTGCTGTCGTAGTTGTATGCAAGACAACAGCGTACAACTGATCCCTTCGTTGTTGCTGACGATGGATGTGGTGGGAGTGGTGGTGGTTGTTGTGATGTTGGCGGAGATAGTGTGCATCCTCTTTCTGTTGATGGTGTTTGTGGCAGTAGTTGTGGTGATGGTGGTGGAGATAGTGTTGTTGGTGCTGCTGTTGATGGTGGAAGTTTTGATATTGAAGATGCTGCCACTGATGACGATGCTAGTGGAAGCGGTGATGGTGGTGGGGATAATGATGCTTCCATTTCTGCTTCCCCCAGTGCTCTTCCCCGTGCCGCTTCCCCGCGCTCCCTGCTCAAGTAGAAGGAGAGGAAGTCGGCAGCCGTGGGAGCCAGGAGCCGGAATTTGAGACGGAGGAGAACGAGACGCTCCAGGTTTTTGAGCTGCTGGGTGGTGAAAGCTCTGCCGCACAGATCCAGAAGCTGAGAGGCGCGGGGGGCCGTCACCTCCACCTGTGAAATAGTGGAGTTTTGTGTTAAAAATATCCATTCAAGGAGTCTAACGTTCTCACAGTTGGCGTAACATTAAAGTGCAATAATGTGCATATGTGAGTGAAAATTAATTTAGGGTAACAGTCTAACAGTCGGCTTAATGTTGAATTGCATTGATGTATGTGTGTGAACATCCATTCAGGGGGTCTAAGTCTGACGGTCTGTTGAATGCTAAAGTGCAATGTATGTGTGTATGTGAAAATTCATTCAGGGGATCTAACGGTTGAATTGAATGGGGCAGATCAATGTCGCTAAGCCTGGTGACGATGAGGAATGATGGGGAACATCGATGACATTGGGACGTACCTGCTTGGCGGCAATGTGCAGGCACGCGACGCCCAGCAGCTGGAGGCAGTCGGAGGCGAGCGGCACGCGAGCCAGGAAGCGGTCGAGCAGGGACAGCGCGAGCGACAGGGAGTGCAGCGACAGAGACAGGTGGCGCCGAACGGGAATCAGCCACGACACGAGCACGCAGCGAGACGAAGGAAGCACCTACATGGGGGCAAGGGGGGAGGGGTGAGTCACGAGATGAGGGCAGCATCTAGATAGGGTGGGGGGGGGCATGTTGTTTGAGAATTAATCAACTTGGGGAAAAATAAAACGCATCCACGTCCCGACTGGAAGACTAATTCCCACTTGCAGGCCGGTGCTGCATACACCACGGAGGGACGACTGCCACTGGCTGTCCCCTATGTTAGACTGCAGCATGGAAACAAAATGGTTGAGACGAAATATGTAAAATGCTTTGAGATGTTGAAGCATTTTAATGAGCGCGCTGTACATACAAATCCTTGAATCATCCGCCAAAATTATTTTGTAATTAATTATGTGCTATGAAGAAGGGTTGCCAGATATATAACCTATTGCATATATAATGATTAATTATAAAGATTAGAGGCAAAATTATGCCCCAGTAGGTGTTACAAATAGTGCGGTCCCAGTTTTTAAAGATGGGACCCCCACGAGGGCATCATCCTAATCCTGGGGAACTTGTGCTGTGGTCCAGGCAGTTGTAATGATGTCGCATAGTTACATCTCTGACCGGCGCTTTACCTGGTCTCAGACTCTTGATTGCTTTTCGCGCTGGTTTAGCAGATGGCACATCAGACACAGGGAGTGCCTACTTCCTCCAACATTTGAGATTGTACAGCCCTCACAGGGTTACCCCCACTCATACCGTGTTCAATGTTGGTATCTGGGCTATCTCACTGCTATCATCAATTCTATCACCACCACTACCACCAATACCATCATCACCATTACCTACACGACCAACATTACTATCAAATCCTTACCTGTATTTGCCTCTCCAGACATCTCGTGGGGTGGAATTCTCGCTCCACTTCACGCTGGCTCTCAAACCACTCTATAGCATACTCATCATCATTGACATCATCATCTACAGCAGCATCAGTAGCAGTAGTGGAGTCTCTGCTCTTTATCTCTGTGTCTTCATTTCTCCGCATCCCCGTGTCTCTTGTCCATGTCTCCACATATGTTCCGTGTGTCTCTGTATATCTGTGCTTCTGTGTCACTGTGTTCCTGTGTCTCCGTGTCCCGGTGTCTTCGTGTCTCTGTGTTTCCACATCTTCTTGTGTCCGCACTCGTTTGGCTTGAGGACCCAAATCTTCACGTGGACAATGGATTAACATGGCCACTATGAAGACAGAGAGACAGTTTGTGAGGGACCGACATGAAGACAGTGAGACAGAGATACAGTAGATCGATTATCCAGCTTCCAACATTATCTGGTGGTCCTGGGCCAGTCCGGCAAAACCAGCATGCAATCCGGCGATCACCGGAAACCACTCCAAAGGAGGATGTACCATTCCGGCGATCGGCACCATGTGTGTGACAAAAATGAATAGCTATGTTTGATTTTAGTGTCAAACATATACAGTACATACACTACATACAACTTAAACAATGAGCATAATGCACATACTGTATATACATGTTTCATGACTAATAACTTCTAAAAACAATATACAGTACAATTCGAAGAAGAAAACTGCGTGTAATACGGCATTCACCGAAGCACCGGTTTAAAGGCTGCATCAGTCCGGCGATCGTCAAACACAGGGTCATTGAAACAAGAGCGTTGTACTACGTACATCACCACATGCAGAATCTTAGAGATTGGAGTGGTAAGTACGGTACAGCAAAGAAAGACCTTTTACAGCATTTTTGTCTATTTGTATGGTTTTTTTGCCAATTTTATACAGTAAACATTGAAAGCACAAAAACACACCACCAAAAAACATGTTACTCAACAATGTGCAAAATAAGCTTTTAAATAATGTGATTATCTGGAATTTAAAAAAAACGGCGCCCCTATCTCCCCCTAAGCCACCGGATATAATCAATAACACTGGTCAACAAAAAAAAGTTTTTTTTCTGGCCTGGTATTTTGCAGCTGGTTTAGTCTAATTTCAGGGTGCTGATTCCAAATCTGATCTCAGATTTGCTCTATCACATCTCATTTTTATGCTATCGGCATACCCCATTTTCATTGATTTTACCCGAAATTAACTTGTCACTTATGATTGCAAGTTGTTGCGAGTCAGTGACTGCTTTAATGTTAAAATATGGTGCTGTATTTTTAGGATAGTGTGTTTATAATATCATTTTATGTAGATATCCACATTTATTTAATATTTTTCTTCTGCAGTTTTTATTGAAAATGCAATACTTGATATCTCAAAAACCTGATGTGATAGACAAAAACTGATGCCAGATTTGGAATCAGCACCCCAAAATTACCTTGAAACCGTTGGAATACCTTATGCCAGAAAAACGTGTGTTGACCAGTGTAATCTATTGTGTATGGATGCAGAGGCAAATAGACAGAACCACAGTGATGGAATTATCAGGTAGAAATGTTATGGTGATTATGTTGATGATTTAATAATGGGCATATGGACATGAGAGATGACACTGTTTAACGGGTTGATGTCCAGTGTGTTCAACTAGAATTTTGTACTTACAAAGTAAAGCCCACTGAGCTACTGGCCCTTTTTCACAGGCTACCTGGCCACACAACAGTTCATCGCAGTTTATATCATATGTGGGAATTTATAGAAGCATCCAAATAATCTAAACACATGTTTATTCTAAATGTGGCAGGCAAAACTGGAGGACCTGGAGAAAAGATCCACGCGACCATCATGGGGAGATATCATGCGACCTCAAAGTATACAGGCGTCAGGTTCGGGATGCGTGGCCCACGAGAGTGACCAGTTTTGTTAACCACCTCGGATCCAAATGACATCAAATGGGCAGAGAGTGGGATCCGAGGGAACCAATGGTTAGAGAGTCAGCGAATAGCAGGACCTGGGAAGCGTCACACTTTGCAAATGCTAATTACACTATGGAACACGATTTTTGTTCCTGGGTAGTGTTATTTTCTAATTGATTATGCCTCAAAAGTATAGGAAAATGGCTATTATTCCCCACAAACTTTTCTTTTGTGACCAGGACTTTATGGCTACTATAGCAAAAAAACGTGAAAATATTCCAAAAACTTTTTATACAACCAATGTCAGAATGGCAAGGGCCATTCAACCAGCACAAACAATACAAGAGAACACATCGCATACAAAAACATTACTTAAAGTCGACAAAGTAGAGCGATAAGTAGGAGTCAGTCAATATCGGTATTTGCGATAACACGAAATCGACACGTAATGTTACACAGACGATACATTGCTGATATCGTCAGGGAGCATAAATCATCACGCGAACTCCGATAATCGCAGCAGCGTTTGACTCGCCATCGAACAAAGACGGCTATCGCATCGTGGCCATCTGAACGCGCTTCTTTCTGATATGAGGAAGCCACTGGAGGTATGCACTCTATACTCTCTGGTTCTTTCGGTAAAGTCACGGAGATAGAAACAATAAGAAATTCGTTTACAATCTAGAGTGCATATAATCTTGATTTGAAGCTTTCGTGACTGCAGGAATCCATACTCTTTGGAAACCAATTTCTTTAAAACTGCTTTTTGTGTTTAGTTGTCATTCCCTGCAACTCCAATTAGCACGGTTGGCTACATTGCGACATAAGTTCAACATAAATTAGAGATTATTATTACACAACATTGATACACCAGTTGGTTAGTACAACACGTTGTTTCAGCCACTATATACATTGAAGTGTATAAGATTAATTGTTGAAAGTCGCTGGATTCTGGACCTTCTGGATTACAATCACCAGGGGACAGGGAGACAGAGACGTACAGAGGCAAGGGACAGAAACACGACAGTCATACATTCACACACGCTTTTCTGGAACCCTAAATCTCACAGAAAGCCAAAGATCCGCCATATAGCTTTTGCGGAATATTGGGGCAAGTGCTATTTGCGAGCACCTATGAAGGCCAGCACTGTGCACTTATGAAGAAGAGGTGGTGTGGCCAGAACCATGCCCGGCCGCCTTTGTCTCCCCCAATGCTGATGTTTACACACCACATCAGTTCCTAATGTATGTATACGTTAGCGTAGGGGAGGACTGAGACCGGTTCCGATATCAATAAACACTGGTGTTGGTTTGTAGCGCAGTGTGCTTAACGGCTGCTCTTAGCGAGCACCTATGAAGGCCGAGACGAGGAGGTGGGTGGCCAGCACCAAGTACTCATCTGAGGCTGAGGAGACCCAGGACCGGTTCAGATAATCGCCACTGGTATTGGCTGTGAACGGGAATCGAACTCGGGTCACTGGGTTCGTAGCGCAGCGTGCTAACCGCTACACCCCCCCCCCCCCACATAAACAAAGACAAAGGTCGCCCTATAGTTTTCACAGACGGACGCTTGTGTTGCGCCCGAAACGTCGTGATTTATTTTATACTTACGTGACTTTACCGAAAGAACCAACGAGTATAGG